AAAAAACTGATTGTAAAAAGTGTCCAATTATTTGATTTTTTATATGTATATTCACACTTTTCAGTTATAAACTTGAATTTCATCCATAAATAACCTTTTTTCTTGGATTTTTTTATTTTTAGATTATGACATTGACAATGTTCTACAAAATATGCAGGTGAGGAGGAAGCTAATTCACTTGATAAATGGGATTATATACATTTGAAATAGGGAAGTAAAAAAAAAATAAATAAATAAATAAAAATTAAGAATATTCTTTTCCTCCATACATCATAATAGTTGCATCACACAAAATGAATACCAATTGTAACTCTGTTCAGAACATATCTACGTAATATACCTATATTTGGTATTCAAAGAAACAAAATTAATATCAACGCACTTGTCAATTTAGAGTCAATGAGAATAAGTAGGTCAGAGGTTAACTAAAATCATATGGTACGCAGTTAGTATATCATCAAGTCTAGGAATTATATCTTAATCAATCATTTCTAAATTTTCAAAAAGTTGCATAATTGTATTTGCAATATGATTTCTGAATACTTTATTTCTTGTAATCATTTGGGTAAATCTTGAAATAAAGACATGGCAGAGATAGAGAAAAAAACTAATGTAGTAGCCATAAAGAATACACAAAATATTAAATTTAGCTATACATCTATAATATTTAGGTAACATCGTTGTTTATCAAAGGTATGCCTGCAGACAAATGTGATCTATATGGCATCCAAAGTTAATAACATGAAACTATTAAATCCAAACACTAGGCTATTTATGATATCATGTCTACATTTTGCTAGAGGTTATATTTCGTGTAATTATTTACTTTACAGCCACATTACCTGGTGATGTAGACCCCATACTTCCTGCTCCGGCAAAGACTAACAAATTTCCACCATTTATTTTGAGATAAGAGCATTGACTGGTTTCTTACTTGACAAAAAATTATCAGAGAGTTTTAAACAAGCTTTATCTTACCAGAATATACACAGTAGAGACTTACTCTCCATCATTACAGGTTAAAACAAAGGGGCCACAACATTTCTTTGTATAGAACTGCGACGTCGTATTGTAGGCCTCACTTTTCACTATATATATATTCTGCATCTAAAATTATTTTACTTCTTCATGACAATTACATTAGTCTTTTTTTCATCATCTCTGCACTGTATTATCATGGACAACAGCAAAATTAAATTCTACCACGGTTTTTCATTTCCGTGTTTTTTCATTTCTAAAAATTACTGGATTCCACAAAAACTTTGAGCTTTAACACCCACTTCTGCGTATACATTTTCTAACACTTTATTCTATATCTTTTCCACACTGTAACATTTCACACAATACTTTCACATGTTCTCCTTATTATAATTTGTTTCACTCTCATTTTACACTGTTGAACTAATAATCTGAGTATTCTACACACAGCGTAGACTAGATACAACACTCCTTTTTCAATATTATTCCCCCAAACCCATATTACTGCATCAGGAATGCTATATTCTGCCTAAAAATAAAAGGCTTCCTCCCCTACCATCATTTTAAACTAAAAATTAAAAAAAAATTGATGTGAATCTAAACTCAGCAAAGTATTGATAACCCTTTGCTCACAAAATATATATATTAACAATCCACTGAAAACTTCACTGCGAGTTATTACCTATAATACAAAAGAAAAGTAACCGTCATAAAAATATCATGAAAATATCACAACGCATTCCTAAGATCAAAAATCTTGAAAATCTTGCAAACCGGTGAAAGAACAGCAACTCCACTATTGTTCCTATATCCTTGTCAAAAATATATAAAAAACACAAATGCAAAAATCAAAACCTGCATTACAGCCTGTAGTTTTACATAATGAAAGAATTAATATCCTTAATTCTTCAAGCAGGAGAAATAAACATACCCAAGTGAAAGAAAAAAGAGGATATATCCTTACCAAAGAGATATAAAACTACATAAAAAATAAATCTGCCAAACCCACTGTACAGACTCTCTTACCTCACATTACCAGTTACACGAAAGATAAAAACCAATAAGGATCAGGTATCAGTGAGGTTCCTCCTTCGGCCACCTCCTTCAGGAACATTATGGGACCCACGCCTAACCACGGGGGAACTAAGAGTGTGTCAGCTGCTGTTACCTGCTCTACTTAGAAAGGTACACATGGTCACACACATACACTGGTTTACACGGCCCTCCCCCCACCCTCTCGCTCCCCACAGACAGAAAGACAGACACTGAGACACGCTGTGGTCCCCCTTCTTCCCCTCCGAGACACCCGTTCCTTCCACTTCTTCCTCCTTATATTCACGTTTCTTCCATCCTTTTCTTTCCACAGGTACCGTCGACGGGGCCTACCTGATGTCATCTTATGGCAAGCTGGGACTCAGGGCATGAGGTTGAGATTTGACTGGCGAAAAGAGCTGCAAAAGATGAATGACTGGCGCAGCGTCGGCCTCTGCGACCGAGCGGCCTCCGGGGGTGAGTGTGAGTG